CAGGGGTGTTGGTGCAGAGCTGGCTGCAGTTGTGCAAGCCCTGGGCACACTCGTTGATGTCTGGTGGTGGGGAAGAGCATGGCACAGGGTTACAGCACAGGGGGGAAAGCAGCATGGCCCTGTTGTTGCGGTGTGGGCTGCCTGCTGCACCCCAGCTCCTCCAGTGCTGCACATCTGGCTGTGCTCCCAAAGCTGGGAGCAGGGAGGAGCAGGGGCAGAGCTGCCCAGGGCCACCCTGAATCCTCCAGCTAGCTCCTGGCCCCAGGGCAGGGAGAGCTGGAGGATGCCAGGGGTGCTCCCCACCCCTGAGCTCCCTCTCCATGCAGCCCGAGGGCACAGCCCTGCCCGGCTCAGCACGCTGGGCTAATAGAGAGGATATAGTTTATTGGGGGTGTTCTCTGGGAGAGGGACTGGAAGACTGAGCTGGGTCCGACTCCAGTGGGGTCAATGCGTTAAAAAACAGATCAGGAGGGACCTTCCCCTGCAGGGCCGGGGGGGACCCTCCTCTGCCAGGGCTGGGGAAAGGGTCCCTGTCACCGAGGAGGGGGCAGGCGAAGCACACACGTCGCAGGCCAAACCAGCAGGCACATGGTACAGTGTTCGAGGCGACGGAGCAAGTGACTGCCCGGAAGGCGCCAGCATGACAGGAGCAGCGCTGGGGCAGGGAGGTGCCGGTGAAGGGGTGCTGCCCCGGGGCTGCTTTCCCAAACACCATGCAAGGAGCAGCCAGGCTCTGTGCCCATCCCACCACAGGCCGCCCCAGCAGAGCGCAGCCAGCACTTCCAGGGTGGTTCGACATGGAGAGAAAGAGAGAGAGAAAAAGAGAGACAGGCAGAGGCTGGCCGGTCCTTCCGCCAAGGCTGCTCTGGCACGTTACGGGCAGGGGTTAAAGTGCATAGAGGCAAAGGCAGAGTCCGAGGACTAGAGGGAGAAGGGCGCTGGGGGGGGGCCTGGGCCAGCTCCCAGCAGAGGGGTATCCCCCAAAAAAGGCCACTTGAGCTGCACAGAGGAGAGAAGGAGCAAGAGAGAAAAAGAGAAGGAGAGAAGGGGAATCAGTGGTGGCTCAGCAGGAGGTGCAGGATTAACAGACACAGAGCCCGGGTGCACCACCCCGCAGGTTGCGGGATGTGGCCAGGCCTTTGGCAGGGGTGCAACAGCATCCCAAGGTGATGCTTTGGGGCTGCGCCCACTGGCTTGGCCAGGCTGCGGTGGCATGGGGTTAGGGCATCCCAGCCATCACTCACCCAC